GCAGTTTGGCACCACTTGAACTACTATGGCTCAATGCTATGGAGTAATGGGAGTTGCAGTTATACAAGAACCCTCTCCACCAAATTACACCTCCTGGGATTCCATAGCATTGAGCCAAATGATACTGCACAGCATTAATCTGGGTTGCTGTGAGTTTTCTGGGCTGCATGACCATGTTCCTAATGCAGTTTGGCACCACTTGAACTACTATGGCTCAATGCTATGGAGTAATGGGAGTTGCAGTTATACAAGAACCCTCTCCACCAAATTACACCTCCTGGGATTCCATAGCATTGAGCCAAATGATACTGCACAGCATTAATTTGGGTTGCTGTGAGTTTTCTGGACAGCAAGGAGGACGCATTCATAGAATCATAGAATCAAAGAGTTGGAAGAGACCTCATGGGCCATCCAGTCCAACCCCATTCTGCCAAGAAGCAGGAATATTGCATTCAAATCACCCCTGACAGATGGCCATCCAGCCTCTGTTTCAAAGCTTCCAATGAAGGAGCCTCCACCACACTCCGGGGCAGAGAGTTCCACTGCTGAACGGCTCTCACAATCAGGAAGTTCTTCCTAATGTTCAGATGGAATCTCTTCTCTTGTAGTTTGAAGCCATTGTTCCGCGTCCTAGTCTCCAGGGAAGCAGAAAACAAGCTTGCTCCCTCCTCCCTGTGGCTTCCTCTCACATATTTATACATGGCTATCATATCTCCTCTCAGCCTTTTCTTCTTCAGGCTAAACATGCCCAGTTCCCTAAGCCGCTCCTCATAGGGCTTGTTCTCCAGACCCTTGATCATTTTAGTCGCCCTCCTCTGGACACATTCCAGCTTGTCAATATCTCTCTTGAATTGTGGTGCCCAGAATTGGACACATTCTCTCCTGACGTTTCACCCACATCTATGGCAGGCATCCTCCGAGGTTGTGAGGTCTGTTGGAAACTAGAAAAATGGGGGTTTATATATCTGTGGAATGTCCAGGGTGGGAGAAAGAACTCTTGTCTGTATGAAACAACTGTGAATGTTGCAATTGGTAACCTTGATTAGCATTTAATAACCTGTTCTGTTCCTGGACATTAACATTTAATCAAGGGCCTGGCTTTAGCACAGCTGGTAAATCACCACCAGTCATATGGAGCCCCCGGTGGCGCAGTGGGTTAAACCCATGTGCCGGCAGGACTGAAGACCGACAGGTCGCAGGTTCGAATCCAGGGAGAGGCGGATGAGCTCCCTCTATCAGCTCCAGCTCCTCATGTGGGGACATGAGAGAAGCCTCCCACAAGGATGATAAAAACATCAAATCATCCTGGTGTCCCCTGGGCAACGTCCTTGCAAACAGCCAATTCTCTCACACCAGGAGTCACTTCTGACACGACAAAAAAACCAAAAAAGCAAACCCACCAGTGATAAGAAAGGTTGCCAGTTAAAAGCCCAGGGTCAGCATGAGCACCTGACTATCAGCACAGCTCACTGTTTACCTAAACCAGGGTCCTCAAACTTTTTAAACAGAGGGCTAGGTCACAGTCCCTCAAACTGTTGGAGGACCGGATTATAATTTGAAGAAAAAAACCATGAATGAATTCCTATCCAAACTGCACATACCTTATTTGTAGTGCAAAAACACTTAAAAATACAATAATTAAAATGAAGAACAATTTTAACAATTATAAACGTATTAGTATTTCAATGGGAAGTGTGGGCCTGCTTTTGGTTCATGAGATAGGATTTTGTTGTTGTTGTTGTGTGCTTTCCTGTCATTTCAGACTTAGGTTGACCCTGAGCGAGGGCTGGGTAAATGACCTTGGAGGGCTGTATCCGGCCCCCGGGCCTTAGTTTGAGGACCCCTGGGTTAAAGCATGAATATAAATCCAAGGAGCAGGTAAACTCATGAGCTTGAATAATCCAAAGATGAGGAATGAAACATTCACTTAAGTGAGCCAAGAATAAAAGAACAATACATTAGCTTGAGTTCATGGTAAAATCCCCAAGACTTAAAGCAAAACTTGATCAGGACATGACTTGAAACAAGGCAAGAGCGCCTTGCTCTAATGGCTAAGTTGCTTGTTCTAAAAACTGAAAGCAGTTATTCCCCCTTATTAATGAAAGCATTCCTTCGGCAAATGACCTTGAAGGGCCGTATCCACCCCTCGGGCCTTCGTTTGAGGACCCCTGACCTAAACAGTTCGAAAACAGCTTGAGGTGTAAGTAGAGAAATTAGGTACCACTAAACAAGGTATATATATATCACTTACTTTGTTTCCAACAGACCCCTCAACATCTGAGGATGCCTGCCATAGATGTGGGCAAAACATCAGGAGAGAATGCTTCTGGAATGTGGCCATACAGCCTGGAAAACTCACAGGAACCTAATGATTCTGGCCATGAAAGCCTTCGACAACAGCATTAATTCTACAGTGTAGGCACACCCTGGATGCCATGAAAGGAGAAGGAGAAAAGAGTGTGTCAAACTTCTTATCATTTTCCTTCTTTCTCTCTCATAGTTTCCTTACAAGGAGAATATCAGAGGAAACTCTACAAGGAACTTCTCAAGAACTACAACCCGTTGGAAAGACCCGTGGCCAATGATTCCCAACCTCTCACTGTCTCCTTCACCCTCAACCTCAGACAAATCATGGACGTGGTAAGTCGTTTTGCTCGGATCATCCTAGAGGTGTCCTTTATTCCCCTTACGAGTTGGGTCAGCCATAAATGGTCTCCTTGATGACCAACCATGGAGTAAGAAGACCAGAAAGTTGAGTTGAAGAAGACACCTTGAATCCATAAATCCAATCAGTATTTACATTGGTTACAGTTTATTTGTTCTCCATCCTATTTATGCTAGTTGAATCCCATCCAGATAGAAAGGTGGGTTATAAATCCAATAGGCATTAGGCAATCCCTAGGATGATGCTCCTCCAAGTGTCTTGGTGGTGGGTCCGTAGGTGGCTTTATTTATTTATCGGGTCATCAGCAACCATTGTATTACAATTCTAACAGAGCAAAACAAACACACAGATTAAAAAGGAAAAGGAAGAAAAAAAACACACAGATTTTGCAAATTTGGTATTTGGTTAAATGTCCTTTGACCAGTATCTGGCCACTTGGAGTGCCTCTGGTGTTGCCGCAAGAAGGTCCTCCATTGTGCATGTGGCAGGGCTCAGGGTGCATTGCAGCAGGTGGTCAGTGGTTTGCTCTTCTCCACACTCGCATGTCGTGGATTCCACTTTGTAGCCCCATTTCTTAAGATTGGCTCTGCATCTCGTGGTGCCAGAGCGCAGTCTGTTCAGCGCCTTCCAAGTCGCCCAGTCTTCTGAGTGCCCAGGGGGGAGTCTCTCATCTGGTATCACCCATGAATTGAGGTGCTGGGTTTGGGCCTGCCACTTTTGGACTCTCGCTTGCTGGGGTGTTCCAGCGAGTGTCTCTGTAGATCTAAGAAAACTATGTCTTGATTTAAGTCGTTGACGTGCTGGCTGATACCCAAACAGGGGATGAGCTGGAGATGTCTCTGCCTTGGTCCTTTCACTATTGGCTGCTACTTCCCGGCGGATGTCAGGTGGTGCAATACCGGCTAAGCAGTGTAATTTCTCCAGTGGTGTAGGGTGCAGACACCCTGTGATAACGCGGCATGTCTCATTAAGAGCCACATCCACTGTTTTAGCGTGGTGAGATGTGTTCCACACTGGGCATGCGTACTCAGCAGCAGAGTAGCATAGCGCAAGGGCAGATGTCTTCACTGTGTCTGGTTGTGATTCCCAGGTTGTGCCAGTCAGCTTTCGTATGATGTTGTTTCTAGCGCCCACTTTTTGCTTGATGTTCAGGCAGTGCTTCTTGTAGGTCAGAGCACAGTCCAAAGTGACTCCCAGGTATTTGGGTGCGCTGCAATGCTCCAGTGGGATTCCTTCCCAGGTAATCCTCAGAGCTCGGGATGCTTGTCTGTTCTTAAGGTGAAAGGCGCATGTCTGTGTTTTAGATGGATTAGGGATCAGTTGGTTTTCCCTGTAATAGGCAGTAAGAGCACCTAGAGCTTCGGAGAGCTTCTGTTCAACCATCTCAAAGCTCCCTGCTTGAGCAGTAATGGCACGATCATCAGCGTAGATGAAGCTCTCTGTCCCTTCTGGCAGTGGCTGGTCATTTGTGTAGATGTTGAACATGGATGGAGCAAGCACGCTCCCCTGAGGCAGGCCGTTCTTCTGTTTCCGCCATCTGCTTCTCTGGCCCTGGAACTCAACAAAAAAGCTCCTGTTTTGTAGAAGGTTTCCTATGAGGCGGGTGAGGTGGTCGTCCTTTGTGATATTATACATTTTTCTCAGGAGGAGGCGGTGGTTCACAGTATCATAGGCTGCTGACAGGTCTATGAAGACAGCTCCTGTGATCTGCTGCCTTTCAAAGCCATCTTCTATGTGCTGAGTCAGGTTCAACACTTGCGATGTGCAGCTTTTGCCTTTTCTGAAGCCTATGTGGGTGGCTGTGGAGCCCTATTCTTGATCTGCATGTTCTCCCGCAGTGAGGGCATCGGTTTCCAGATGGAAGGTGGTCCCAGTCAAGGTTGGCTTGATGCACCTTCCTCTTGGCATGTTTCTCTCTTTCGCCCTCCATTCGTGCCTCTTTGAATTCTGCAGCACTGCTGGACACAGCTGACCTCCAGTTAGAGCACTCAAGGGCCAGGGCTTCCCAGTTCTCGGTGTCTATACCACAGTTTTTAAGGTTGGCTTTGAGCCCATCTTTAAATCTCTTTTCCTGTCCACCAACATTACATTTCCCGTTCTTGAGTTGGGGGTAGAGTAACTGCTTTGGGAGACGGTGGTTGGGCATTCGACAACGTGGCCAGTCCAGCGGAGTTGATGGTGGAGGACCATCGCTTCCATGCTGGTGGTTTTTGATTCTTCTTTCAGCACGTTGACTTTTTATCTGCTTGTCTTCCCAAAAGATTTGCAGGATTTTGTAGAGGCAGCACTGATGGAATCGTTCCAGGAGTTGTGTGACATCTGTAGACAGTCCACGTCTCACAGGCATATAGCAGGGTTGGGAGGACAATCGAATTATAAACAAGCATCTTGGTCTCCCTACAGATGTCCCAATCTTCAAACATTCTCTGCTTCATTTGGAAAAATACTGCACTCGCAGAGCTCAGGCAGTGTTGTATTTCAGTGTCAATGTTGACTTTTGTGGAGAGGTGGCTGCCAAGGTAGTGGAAATGATCAACATTTTGTAATGTTACACCTGCACCATTAAGCTGTATTTCTGGCATTGTAGAGGGATTGGCTGGTGATTGTTTGAAGAACACTTTGGTTTTCTTGATGTTCAATGAGAGGCTGAGCTCTCTGCAAAGGTGTTTAGAGTGGCTTGTAGGTCTTCTGAATGCGCACAGACTACGCTATCATCTGCATATTGGAGTTCTATATCAGATGTTGTTGTGACCCTGGTTCTGGCTTTCAGTCTGCTGAGGTTAAATAGCTTGCCATCTGTCCAATAATTGATTTCCACTCTGCTAACAAGTCTCCTCTTCCCAAAAGTGTTGGTGCTTCTCCAAACTAACAAATCCCACTGTTCCATAGCATTGAACCATGGAGGTTAAAGTGGTGTCAAGCTGGATTAATTCTCCAGTGTAGATGCATCCCTAAGCGAACCTTCAAGCATAGGCCTCCGGAATTGTTCTTGCCGCATCTTTTGAGGTCACCTCTCTCCTTAATTTCTAGTTTAAAGATGACCGTAATATTTTAGCCGCCTGCTTGCCATGCTCTTGGCTGTCTGTCTTGCACAGTGAAAACTTCATAATTTAACAACAGAGGAATTGTTTCCTCTGATTTACTGTGGGCATTTATCTCTTTTGCTGCCCACAATTACGGCGAGGCGCATTTTATGCCCGACTAATGCGCTCCGGTGCTGCGTCGAAGGCAATGGATGGGGAATGCGTGGAAGCGCATGCTCGCAGGAATCAGCTTGTCTTCAAGGTTCTTCTTTTGACTCCTCGACTCCCTCCTTTTTTGTTCTCAGATTCCATTGCAACCTTACTGTGCTAACAATGTTGTGTAGGTGGGTCGGCATCCAGAGTAGATGTGGGAAATGCTTTAAGCGTGTGGTTTGCTGACAATTACTCCGATTAACCAAAGACAAGATGTTCCTGGGTGGAACAGCAAGAGCAAATGGACTGGAAAATCACATTAGGGATAAGAGGGATTCGAACCCATCACTATGACTATATCTCCTTTGAACTCCAAGCTTGGAAAAGTTCATTATTGACAACAATTCCAAGCATCCAACATCCAGATGGGTTGCTGCATTGTCTTTGGCACTACAGCTCCCAAAGTTCCCTATCCAAGTGGCTTTTTAGAGTACAACTCCTCTAATCTTTCTGTTAGTATGGCTACTGCCCTATATTTTGGACTACAGCTCCCACAATCCCCGACGGTTTACTTTGAAAGGCAGCTCTATAAATGTCCCACCTAGCATGGCCTTTGGCTTTGTTTGGACTACAATTCCTAGAGGCCTCCAACATGGCTACTACCTTATCTTTGGCACAACAAATCTTCAAATCCCCATAATCAGAAATATCACTTGACTATAATTCCCAAAATCATGCAGCCAGTATGGTCACTAACAGGGGTGGCTCAACCCATTACGCAAAGTTAGCATTTGCAGTATAGTTGATTTTGCCCAGGGGTGCTCTTGAGTCACTCCTGGGGGAAACTAGACCTTGACACATGCACGTTGTAGTTACTGGGATGTATAGTTCACCTAAAATTGGTTAGACCACACCTGGAATATTGTGTCCAATTCTGGACAGCACAATTCAAGAGAGATATTGACAAGCTGGAATGTGTCCAGAGGAGGGTGACTAAAATGATCAAGGGTCTGGAGAACAAGCCCTATGAGGAGCGGCTTAAAGAGCTGGGCATGTTTAGCCTGAAGAAGAGAAGGCTGAGAGGAGATTTGATAGCCATGTATAAATATGTGAGAGGAAGCCACAGGGAGGAGGGAGCAAGCTTGTTTTCTGCTTCCTTGGAGACTAGGACGCGGAACAATGGCTTCAAACTACAAGAGAGGAGATTCCATCTGAAAACGAGGAAGAACTTCCTGACTGTGAGAGCCATTCAGCAGTGGAACTCTCTGCCCCGGAGTGTGGTGGAGGCTCCTTCTTTGGAAGATTTTTCGGAGAGCTTCTGTTCAACCATCTGAAAGCTCCCTGCTTGAGCAGTAATGGCACAATCATCAGCATAGATGAAACTCTCTGTCCCTTCTGGCAGTGGCTGGTCATTTGTGTAGATCTTGAACATGGATGGAGCAAGCACGCTCCCCTGAGGCAGGCCGTTCTTTTGTTTCCGCCATCTGCTTCTCTGGCCCTGGAACTCAACAAAAAAGCTCCTGTTTTGTAGCAGGTTTCCTATGAGGCGGGTGAGGTGGTCATCCTTTGTGATACTATACATTTTTCTCAGGAGGAGGCGGTGGTTCACAGTCTCATAAGCCGCTGACAGGTCTATGAAGACAGCTCCTGTGATCTGCTGCCTTTCAAAGCCATCTTCTATGTGCTGAGTCAGGTTCAGCACTTGCGATGTGCAGCTTTTGCCTTTCCTGAAGCCAGCTTGCTGTGGGATCAGACATGGGTCTATTTTTTCCACAGAAGCGACCAGCATGTGAAGATGG